CTGTAATGTAGCCGTAAGCATTTTTTCTTGTTTGCTTCTTTAATCTTAATTTCTCATCCCTAAATAAAGGCCATCCCTAAATTTTTTGTACGCAAGACGAAGAGTAATAAAAAATAAAATTTAACACATATTTTGTTACTACATAATATTTTTTAGTCATTTTTGTATGTCATTTTATTGGTCATTTATTTAAATAATGTGTAATGAAAGGGAGGATTGTTTGCGGTATGTATATAGTGAACTCCCTGTTATAGTGAACCAAAATTTCGGTCCCTTGAAGATTCACTATAGCGAGGTTTGACTGTATTTTTATACACTAAGCTTATTCACATTGTTTAACATATTTGTTTATTTAAAAAATTTGAATATATGTTTTAAACTTGTAACAGTTTTCGAATTTCTTTTTTTTTTCTCAGGAAATTTTTATTTTCTTGATTCGGTAAAATAAATATTACAATTAGTATATAAATATTGAAAGGTTTTATTATCTATTTTATTGTTACTTAAGTTACAGTGTATATGGTTGATTTATTGCATGGGGATCAAATTTAAATTTTTGTTGCAATATTGTATACATAAGGTTAAAAAAAATATCAATTAATAAATTTGAATATTTTTTTCTAAGTGTAATATTCATCAGTTGAAATTTATTTGAATTCCCTAAAGGGGTGGAAAAAAATTTAAAATACGGCAAAGGATTTGACTCTTGTTAACGAATTTTCCCCAAACGTGGAAGCATCGAATAGCGTAAAAATTTATGAGACAAATTTGGCGAAATGAATTAAATGCCAGTTTTATTTTGTAACCATTCGAATGAGTGATGACAATACAATAAAAAAGATGCTACTTTTTAAACCCACTGTAACAAGAAATCGGGGAAGGCCGCGATTGAGATGGACTGACTCGGTGGAGTCTGATTTTCATACAACTAATGAAAAGAATTGGAGATCAAAGATAAATCAGAAGTTATTATGGAAAAATCTTCAGAGGAAGGCATTAGCCCACGTTGGGCTGTCTGGCCGACTATGATGATGATGATTTTTCATAACCGTCGTTTAACAGCTGATCCAATTTTTGAGTTTACGACATCTAATATTTAACTCCATAACCTTATAAATTTGAACCCAATTCGGAAGACAAGGGAACTTCTAAATCAAGTTTTGGGAGACATTTGCCTCCGTGGAGGTCTCTTTTTTGGAACTAATCTGCATTTGCTTTACATGGAGAGGAAGACCACGAAAACCTCACACGGTTAGCTTGACGGAGGGGGGACACTAACCCATGATCCGTCTACCACAGAGGATATTTTAAATCAGTATTGTGATCGGTGCAAGCCGGATGCGGAATTCGTATAGACCAACCATAGCTGGGATTTGAACCCGGGTCACCTCATTGGAAGGTGAACGCTCTAAATACTAGTTTTCAAAATTTAAACCAAGATAAAGCGAATGAAAAAGCGGACATATTAATGTTTGAGCCTGACATTAGTTTACATCCTGGTTCAAACATTTCCAAAAACAAACTAGAGATTCTGAATTAAATGACAAGTGGAAAAAATTTTAAAATTTTTTGTGTGGTTCAGATATGAAATTTTTTGTTAATAATTGTTTAAAATTGTTATTCTTTCGAGGAAATAGTTCGAACTTTTTCAAGAACATTATTTGTTCCCCTGCATTTGGCTTAAGCGCTCAGGTTAAAGATTGCAATAGTAGTATTGATAAAGAAATAAAGTCATTAATAAAAATAAGGAATGCGAAAATTAAATAAAGAAAGGAAATAATATTAAATTGAAATCGCTATTAACACTGTTGTTAAGAAAATGTTCGACAAAATATTAGCAGATTTAGACATACAGTTCCTGGTCAAATTATTAGACGCACTATAAGATTCTACTTAAAATCTTAATTATCAGAGGTGATACACTATACAGCTTTATTGTTTTTACGCAAATGTTTGCACTTGTTTACGATAGTGTATCAATGGGTTAAATTAGACGATATATAATATAAATTGGACGATAGGATAAATTAGACGATATATAGAATATTTATTATATCAATCATTATATTAGTATATTATAATAATTAGATCTAGTAGTTTTTTAATAATGACATGATTTGCAAGAGATTATATGCAATACTTTTATACTTAAACATACATGTAATGGGTATTTATTCAGGATATTATTTATAGACTTCCCATTTGTATTTATTTTTAACGTATTGCATTACAATGTTAACCAATGGGTATAGGAGCGCAAACAAATGCAAACCGGTTTCATCCGAGTAAAAACAATAAAGCTGTATAGTATCACCTGATAATTAGAATTTTACATAGAATCTTTTAGTGCGTCTAATAGGGACTGCAAACATAAACAAAATTAAGAAGGGAAAAATGTAAACAAATTAAACTTAAAAAAAGATAAAGTAAAAAAAACAAACTTACAAATAAGGATTTAAATAGCAAAACTGGAAAAAAAAATCGAATTTTTAAATATTCTAGAGGCGGAATGTGGTTGTGGAACCCCCACACTATCATAATCAGGTAGATGGAATATCACCAATTCAAGATAATGAAAAACAAAAAAGCCTACTACAGGAAATTTTGAAGGAATACACAGATATTTTAGCTTAAGGTAAATACGGCGAAAAAATTAAATCTTAAAGGGTAAGATTAACTTCAGATTTACCAGCGTCCTTACAAGCATATAAAACTTCCCCAAAGCAGCAAAAAGAAATAGAATTATTAAAGCATAACATAATTAAAGAAAGCTCTTCTCCCTATTCAGCTCCAGTAACTTTAGCTTATTAAAAAAGAGGAAAACAAAAAAGGTAGATAATGTGAAAACTCTGGAAAACTAATTCGAATTACTTAATCCGATGCAGAAGCATTACTCCCAATAGGAATTAGCATAGATAAATTAAGGCAATTGTGTTTATTTTAGCCGCCTGAATATGGTCAGCGGTGTTTGGAATATCCAAATTCACCTTTGTGCAGTGCTGGATTACCCAATAGGCCATGGTCTGGGGCCCCCAATGATTAGGGGCCCCCATAAAATGGATTTTTTGAAAGTAAATTTTAAAAAATTAAGAGAAGCAATGATTTTTTTTAAAAAATAAATAAATTTCAAATATATATTAATAAAGTAAGATAATTTTTTTACATAATATTAATCATATTTATTTCTTACATATTTTATTACTTGTTTTATTATTTATAACTTATTTTATTACTTGTTTCATTATTTATAACTTATTTTATTACTTGTTTTACTATTTATTACCTTTATAGTAGAGTTGATTTTGTAAAGTGTTAATAAATTTAAAATTTTTTCAAAATGTTATGACTATTTCTTAGTTCTAATTTAACAAAATAAAGTAAAATTTAATTTATTATTATTCATTTTAATTTTAAATATGTTTTCTTAAATGAAAAGATACATAAATACTTTTATATTTCTTGTTGTTGTAGTTCATTTACGTCGTATTAGAGCTGCACAATGGGCTATTGGCGACGGTCGGGGAAACATCCCTGAGGATGATCTGAAGACATGCCATCACAATTTTGATCCTCGGCAGAGGGGATGGCACCTCTGCTTCTGTAGCCCGACGGCCTGCATGCGAAGTCGAGCACTTTACGGTAGAACTGTTTAACGAGGACCCATACCGCACACCCTCGTTCCCTACGCAGACTAATCCAAATGGTCACCCATCCGCGCATTGACCGCAGCCAGTGGTGCTTGACTTTGGTGATCTGCTGGGAACCGCGTCTTAACGATCAGGCCACTGCGGGACCTTTTATATTTGAATAAAAAAATATACGAGAAAAAAATTTAATTTAAGGGCCCTAAAAATTTGAATGGCGTAGGGCCCCACGTACGCTTAATCTGGCATTGCCTTTGTGACACTGAAAAACTTGCATTTGTCACCATTAATGGGCTATACCAGGGATGGGCAAACTTTTTTGGTCGAGGGCAAAAAAACGAAGAAAAAAAGTTTGTTGGGCCAAGTAAAAACTTCTAAAATAGAAAAACGATATGCAAGTTTTAATTTAAATATTTAATGAGATGAATGAAATTGCGATTTCATTTTTAAAAGAAGTTTATATTGAGGTTCCAAGTGAGATGTACTTATTTTAATGCTCAAAGCTAAATGTTAGTCTAGTTCTGAAATGATTTTTTCTAAGGTTTATACTTGAAAACACTTGTTCACATTTATAAGATGAAGCAAACATACCATTGATTTTCTGGACATGAATATTAAATTTGGGAAACTAGCTTTTGGTAATGATTTGTAAAACTCTAACTATGGCATATTTAGAAACTGCTTCAGATGGCGCCAAAGTACGATTATTCTATAAAAAGCTTTTGCTTTCAACATTTTATCAATTGATGCTGCATATTTCCATCAATTTATGTTTTGTAGAACAAAAATAGAGAAAGTAAAAAGGTCAACAATACTTTGTTAAAAAAGAAGGAACAAAAATAGCTTTAAACAAACTAGACAAGAAAATGGATGTATATTGCTTATATTCGTCACAAATCGGCAAGTAAAAATTCTATCCGCGAGCCGGATAAAACCTTACGGCGGGCCACAGTTGGCCCGCGGGCCGTAGTTTGCCCATCCCTGGGCTATACAAATGGTTAAGATTGTCATTTGGGTAGAAGAACGTATTTTTCAAAGAACAATACGATGAATTTTCACTAAATATAATAAGTTTTTTTATCTTTCATGTTTTTGAATTTCACTTTTGTGAAATGTTAATAAAATATTTTTAAAAAAAATTCGAAAAATTTTATCAAATATTTGCGTTGAGCTTTAACATTCACTTATTTTAAATCTGTAATTAAAGGTAGTTGTATTGAAAAGTGAAAGAAATATTAATTTTCTCCCTTTCCATTTCTTTTGTTGATTCGTGAAAGAAGATGTTCATAACGCAATCGAGTGTAGAATTACGCAAAAGTGCCTGTGAATGAAAATGGTGTCATGCCCTGAGCGCGTTCTGGAGGCTGTAGTAAAAGTGACCGCCCTTGAGGTCACGGCGAGGAATTCCCCGTTATTCCAAAAGTATAAAAACAGAAAGATAATTTGGATATTTATTTTAAGTTTTCGAAATTAAAAGTATCGTTTTTCATCTAAGAAATGAAGTGTTTAACTGTAAGTATTTTTTTTCTTAAAAAATATAACTCTTCATTTACTCTTTTAATAAATCATGTATCTATTACTATAAGCAACATGATACGCTTGGGAGATAATGTTTTACGAATTGTGTTTAAGTATAATAGTGTTTTCACTTCCTGTAAAAAAAAAAAATCTTTTTTTTTTTCATTTTTTTTATCGAAGTTCTTTCAACAGAAATTAATTCCGACCATTAAGTCAGCTTATATAAATTTTATATAATTCCATTGTTTTCCTTTGTAGTATATAATATATAGCCAGGTTTTTTCCTGTTCCCTTTTCTTCGAAAATTATTTACAGCATTTTTTATAACTTTTAGTGAAAAATTCAAAATAATTCCGATTAAAATCTAATAAAAATAATACATAATGTATTTTTAGGGAAATAAAATAATATATATATATATATATAGATAGATATATTTGTATATATTCAAGGCCGGATTAACCTATAGGCACACTAGGCACGTACCTAGAGCCTACGAAATTCAGGGGCCTAGGAAAAACTTGGGAGAAAAAAATTTTTTGACAAAAATAATTTAGCTTTAAAAACAACAAGTGTATTTTGCACAAAATTATGAAGATACAAATACAAATATAATATTTTTCGGTAATAAATTATTTTGCAGAATCTTATGATACTTTATATTACTTTTTTGGATTCAACGAAATCTTGTATTATGCTGTCGAATTCCAAACTACGCAAAATGTCGTATTCAATAGACATAAGTGCGAGAGATGACCAAACGATCTTGATTCATTGTTGAACGCAAATAATTTTTTATCATATATTTTGAAAAGAGGGGAGGAGTGGGGGAAGGAGGGGAGGGCCCAAATACGGCTATGCCTAGGGCCTACGAAAGGTATAATCCGGGTCTGTATAGATTGCAAACTGGCCAAATTATTAGACGCACTATAAACTTCTATGTAAAATCTTAATTATCAGGTGATACTATACAGCTTTTATTGTTTTTACGCGACCCAAACCGGTTTGCACTTGTTTACGTTCGTGTATAAATTGGTGAAATTAGACGATATATAACATAAATTCGACAATTGGATAAATTAGACGATATATTATATAAGTATTGAATACTTATTATATCAGATATTATATTAGTGTATTAAAATATTTAGACCAAATTATCCGATGCACTGTTGTGTTTTAATAATTGCATGTTTTGCACGAGTTCATATGCAATATTCTTATATTTAAACATAAATGTAATGAGTTTTTATAGAGGAGATTTCTTATAAACTTCCCATTTGTATTTATCTTTAACGTATTGCATTACAATGTTAACCAATTGATACACGAACATAAACGAGTATAAACTGGTTTCAACCGCTCAAAAACACTAAAGTTGTAGCGAATCACCTAAGATTTTACATTGAATCTTACAGTGCGTCTAATAATTTTTGCCAGGGACTGCGTGTATACATATACATGGTGATTCTAAAAAGATGGGCAAAATTTTAGGAAGTGATAGTACACACCCAAGCAAACAATTTTTATCAAAGAATGCATGGTCAAAAACGAAACGCAAAACCGCTAGAGGACGTCAAAGTTTATGTTCTTATATGAGGCAAAAACACACAAAGAACGATGAAGTTATAAAAGCAAATTTAATGGCATGTGATTACAATAAGTGTTCAAAACAGTGGCCGGCAGCTGCTACGCACGCAGTACAACGGTGAAGAAAAGATAGGCGAACATTCTGAAACACACCAGGCACATCACGAACTTTCCCTGCAGCCGCCGAAAACTTGGCGACAAGTTCATACATAGAAGCCTTCAGCTGTCCCCACAAAAAGCCAATTATTTTTTAAATATTTTTAGACATTGTAGCACTCGAATCAGCAGCTTTTATGTATGAATCGCGACGAAAAATTTGCATACGAGCTATTCCTCTTCCCATAACATGCAAATAATAACTCACAGCGCAGTAACTCGCAACAGGAATGGAGCTTTCACGTTTGAATCAAGCAACTTTCCAAATGCGCCAGCACCTTTGCGTTTTGTTTCCGACCATGCATTCTTTGGTAAAAATTGTTTGCTTGGATGTGCACTATCACTTCCTAAAATTTTGCCCATCTTTTTAGAATCATCCTGTATATAACATAAAAGACAAAAAGGATAATAGAAAAGAAAGTTATACTTGTTGTAACCGCCCGCGCACCGTACGAGGCTCATAATTCAGAGGGGACCTTCGGATCTACAGTCTGCTATTCTGAAACGGTTTTTTGAATTTCATTTCATTTCAGAATTTTTTTCCGTCTTATAAAGCGTATGGCTGTAAGAGATGTAAAACTTGGCTCAATATTGACAAAAAACATATAATTGGGTATAATATGAAAAAAACACAACTACTTCGATTTAGTAGGAACAACATATGACGCAATGCTAAACGAATGGAATTTAGTTGTTGTTTATTTAGTTATTGTTATTAGTAGTTGTTGTTATTTGTTTTAGTTGTTGTTGTTTATTTAGTTGTATTTAGTTTCAATAACTTTTCTTTATAATGCAATAAAATCTGGCGAGCAGCTATTTAAAC